GTGCTATCGACGAGAGGGGGAGTGGTAGGGTGGGGGAGTGGGGGGGGGGGTTCAAAAATTCGAAACTCTTTTTGAAATTTGGACTTTCCCTTTTTTGGATTATATTTGAAACTGGTGTAATTGGTAGGATACTAGGAGTGATTTATTACTAACTCTTAGAGCAAGTGAACAGGGATCAGCACTGTCCTTTCAATCGTTAGCCATCTTTGCAATTATGATCCGGAGAGTGTCCACCGCTCTTTAACCCCTCAACGCCCTTAAGGGACCGTGCTGCCCTCCTTCACATTGGTACTAGACTCGTGAAAGAAGGCACTATTACCATTGGAATCATGTTCGATATGTCTATGGTCTTCCCCTAATACCACTAAAACGCATCACGTCGGTGGCAGCAATGTGCTGTGAGACATGGGTGAGTATGGTTTTTGCTGCATTTTTCAAAACAAATAATTCGGGAGTTTAATTGTTAAATCAATAATGAAACTGAAAAAAACGACACGGAAATGTGTTACCAAAGATGACATGGCTTCACATGATTGCATTTTAGCATAGCATGTCTATCGATTATGTGAAAAATTACTAAATATCATTCCATTTTGAAACTAATAATTTATTTCACACTTTCATCCAATCACCACTGAAAGTAACTCTTAGGAAGTAATATAAACAAATTTCAAATTTTAGCTTTAATTAATTTACCATATAACAACAATGAGAACTTGTGTGCTATAGACTTATCTCCACGTGGTGCACCCTGGGCAACGTATACTCATATGACAAAAATGTCTATTAACTGGCAGTTGACTTCTAACTTCAAACTACCATGACCCCACAGTATGCCATATTCGACCCCTCCCACAGTAATCATCTAGCCTTTTCCCTGCCTTTGAGTCTGTCTGTCTTTTTTAAATCGGTGAATCGCTCGTCTTTTCCCCTGTCGAATTTTTCTTTTTTTATGTTCCTCCCTTCTGTGAAGCCCGAAGTCAGCTAAAGAGCTAATGATAACCATCAAAATGCCTGCCATTTGCAAAAAAAGTTTTCTATATAACAATGAGAACTTGTGTCTTCCTTTTGTTGGTTGGTTCACAACAGATTAAATGCACTTGCCAACAGCGAAGAGGACGTTAATTATACTCAAATCGAATTTTCCCAAAAGCGGTTTATCGCATTTTCTAGACAGAGAGAGCCCTGTTACCAGAAGAATGCCACTCAGGAAAGTGTGAATAATATTGTCAGGTTTAAAAGGGAGAAATGAATGCGTTGGATCTGGACATCTCGAAGTAAAGAGTGTGGGATACGTTATCGCTTTGTGCGTCATCGCATGCCTGCACAGCAGCATTGGGAGGTGGGGCTGTACAACTCTGTGTACAGCGACCGCCCAAACACTGCCCAATCAGTAGCCTCCGTTTGTTTAACCTAATCCGCAATCCTGATCATGAGTAAGCTCCCTGCGTGTACACTTTGCTCACAAGATGCCTACTGAATAAGCGTGTTTCGTGCTGTACGTCTGTTTCCTTTCAAAGCTGGGCTATAGCTTAGCTGGTTCTGGGAGTCTAGCTGTAGCTGGGGTATAGCTTAGCTGGTTCTGGGAGTCTAGCTAGATGTGGGCTATAGCTTAGTTGGTTCTGGGAGTCTAGCTAGATGAGTTTCCCTTATAGCTAGGCTATAGCTTAGCTGGTTCTGGGAGTCTAGCTAGATGTAGGACAATCTGCCACAGTGATTTCTGATACAGTCAGGGTTTACTAAGGTAGCAGTTCGCTACCAGAGGTGGAAGAATATGCATAGAATATTACTGCAACTCTAACCCAGTCAGTAAAGCTCATTTGGGATCCCGACTAAATTGAGCTTAGGAATATTCCCTTACAACCGAGTTGACTTGGACAGCAAGATGAGTTGGGACAAGAAGAAGAATAAACTTATGGAGAAAAGAAGATGAGAGGTTGGAGGTTAGTTATGAAAATCGAAAAGGAAGGAACAGGCATTAGTACCAAGCAAGCGGAAATTTGATTCCGTTCACGAGTCCCCAAATCGGTGTGCATAGTCGTACATTTATTCGGCTCTTCAGCCCACAAACACTATAATCGATATTTGTGTTCTGTATGAGGACTTGAATAGCTTACCAAAACAATAGGCTATGTTGGAATTGTCGGTTGGTTACAAATTTGTGTAGATTTCATAATTTGTGACATCAAATGTGAATACATTATTCTTTGATTCATGAGCCTACTTGTTCACTCATTTAATTTACTTACAATGACTATTCAAATACCCCTTAAAAGTACTGGTTTCCATATTATTAAATTTTTGTGAGCTTCTATATAACAAAATGATGGGCTTGATGAACTAGTACAGTCTCGTCGGTATGCAGATATTGGCATTTGGTAGGCAATGGAGAGTTTGAAAATAAAGTGGGGATTTATTAAATATCAAGGCACCAATAAAAGGACGTGATTGAATCGAGTACTGGCTCTAAGTGGCCTCCTCTTAACTAATTTCATGACACCAACGTCAAATGTATTTTCAAGAATGACACTCTTAAATGCAATTCAAAACCCAATTAGATACTGAAATGAACTGTTTGGTAGAATCTCGTCGAGGAGAAATGAAGAAGCATTCTTATGTTTTCATTGCCCACTAATCCAACTCAAAGAAATAATTCTGTTGAGTATCCATGAGACACAATATTCATCAAGAATTTAAAAGTTTAAGTTTAATTAGAGCAACAGCAATTTAATGCATGTTTTTAAGATAACTAAATACTTAACTCATTTTCATTGTAAAGTTATTAATAGACTGCTCGATTTTCTAATAAATTTTTTTATTTATTGTTGAACTTTGGTTTTTTCGAATTTCCAGAGGACGAAGACAATGAATGCCGATATGCGGAAAAGCTAAAATCCCTGGTTCCATCTTAACTGACTTAACTGCAAGAACGACGATATACGTATCAAAAAATGTGACAATCATATGACTTCATATTTAAATTTATAATAAATCAAAAGTCATTTACTGCGTATCTCGACAGCATAAATAAATTTAAGGTTGCCATTATAAGTAATATGAATTTTATCAGTTAAAGCCTTCAAAGATAAATTCTATTTTAATTAATACTTGTGCAACGACCTTTAACGGCGGATTTTTGATGCGATTGACAAGAGGTGAGTGGAGGTTCCTTTCTCTATTTATGCCTTTACTTTACTTGTTGCACTGTTCTTTGCACAATACATATGACAACAGAATATATGCTCTTGCATAGCATTTGTAAAATTGTGAAAGCATTATATTTGTGCAGTCAACGAAAAATAATAAATAGTAAAACTGGCCAAAATAAGGTTTTTAAAATTTTAATTCTCACTTATTTGTCCGAATGAGTCATTACCGGTATTTTGAGTTTAGTTTTGGCACTTATATGCTTGATTAAAAATGAAACGATTACATTTGGAATTTTTCATGCATGGCTTTAACGCAGGGGTTCCTTATTTTTGTACCAAAATTTTACCTAATTTCAAATTAGTTGTATTTTTGCGCCATTTCAGTCTATTTCCCTTTTACAATTTAAATTTCGTATTGGAAGGTCATTTGGAATACATCTCCTTATTTGAGCAATTTTACAAGTTTGCTTTTAAAATGCATTATCATTTCGCTTCAGAAAATCTGCCGAACTTGGTATTTAATGGTGATCTGAGTTAATTTTCTTTTGAAAGAAATTGAAACACTAAAAATAGACTAAATTCCTTATTTATTTTCAAGACATAGTGAGTATTAAGTGATTTTGTTTTTTAGGGAATTTAACCAAAAATGGCGTTTTTAATGCAAATTGCACCAAATAATTTGATTTAATATGTGAAATATGTAGCACATCAGTTTGTTTTGCTAGCAGCTGAGTTAATGACATTCTAATGAGTTGCCATTTCATTGGCACACACCCACACGCATTCAAAGAAGGCCCGTTATTATTGAATATTTGATATTGTGTTTGATATTAATCACTGTCATTTCAAGTCTCCACCGCTTAAATTCATCATGCTTTTGTGGCATGACCAAAACTTTCACCTTTCCCACTTATAAAATTTTTTTAAGATTTCAGCACGTTCATTTGTAATTATTGCCTTTCGAAACCGTAGCTTCGTTTGACTAGTGGAGGCGTAACTTAAATAAAGGAGAGTAAGTACGTTAAAATTGGATTATAATTTGAAGTGAATAGCGAAGGGTCTGTTCCTCCAGAATGGTTTGGGGAGAATAATATTTGGGGAATTGAAATTGCCAGAGTGGCCAAGCTCTTATTCTTCTCAACGTATTGAATTTTATTAGCCCAAGTTGGGAGGAAAGGAGAGACATTAGTGGAACGTTTATATTAGCAAAATAATTACTATCTAAGTAAAAAGAAGATCAGCCAGTCTTTTATAAATCCAAGGTCACCAGAAAAACCAACTAACAGTTGATCTGAAGCACGCTCTATTACTGTGTAATGCCTTCGGATTTCGTTTTGGTCATTCCTCAGAAAGCCTTCAACACATGGTGGAGTCGTGTGTAGAATTAGTGAAACAAATTTAACTTCGAACTAATGCATTTACTATTAAGTTGTGGGGGATGCACGATAGACTTACCTCCACGTGGTGCACACTGGGCACCGTATACTCATATGACAAAAATATTCATACACTGCCAGTTAACTTCAAACTACCATGACCCGACTTTATGTCCTATCGGCCACTTCAACAGAACTCACCTTACTTTACCTTTTTCCCTGCCTTTGTGCCTGCCTGTCTCTTTTTCATCTGTGATTCGCTCTTCTATTCTCCTTCTCAAATTTTTTGCCTTCTCTATTCCTCCTCTCTGTGAAGACCGCAGTAATCTAAAAGGTTAATTATAACTATCATAAATCCTTCCATTTGATACAAATAAACCACTAGGTAGTGGTGCTTAGTTTAACAGGTTTAATCCTTTCAACTGTTATAATTTCCCCTGATTAATAAGTCCATTTCATGAAAAGGAAGGAAGTAACGAAGTAGTTTAGATTGGAAGTACATTGGTTTCAAAAAACATCAACTGTGGAGAGTGGGGAAGATAGATCAAGGGGTTTCAATCCTGCAATAAAGACTTAGTATAGGGCCTCTTTGTGCTGAACGCTGCATTAATTGAGATTGTGCGAGAGTCAAACTTGAAACGAAACTCCCAATATGCATGTGGATGGAGATTTTAGGGGAGATCGATTTTAAATATTACCATTCATTCGATTTTATTCGATTCTGGAAGAAATCGGATGACCAAGTTTGGAGGATTGAATTGCAGCATTATTTCATTTTGTTTTGAGTTTATAAAGCCTTTGATTGGTTTATAAATTCACTAAAATAATAATTGTTTGCGTATATTTTTTTCATAACAGAGTTCATTAGAGTTCTAACAAAGTGGTTTTATTACCCCCTACCCCCTGCCCCAAATCTATTTGTATTCATTACTTGCAAAGTATTTCCATTTTTCTGTTTCAATTGAAAGACNTTATTTATTGAATTTTTTAAGTATGAAACCATTCTCGGAGCTATACTCAGTATCATCGTCCATGGGTGCTTATTCGGGTGGGCCGTTGTTTGGTTCCAAAGATGAATTTATTTCAAATGGCAGACGTTTTGAGAGTTATCAGTAGCTCTATTGCTGACTTCGGGCTTCATGAGAGGGGAGAAACATCAAAGTCACAAAATGTCGACGAGCGCGGGGAGGGGGGCTGGGGTTGGGGCTTGTGGACAGAAGAGTGATTCACAGATGTAAAAGAGACAGACAGACACAAAGGTAGATAGAAAGGTAAAATAAAATGAGTACTGTGGTTGTGAACGCATATGACACATAGTAGTTTGAAGTGGGAAGTCAATTGCCTGTTTGCAGACTTTTTGCCATATGAGTATACGTTGTCCAGTGTGCACCACGTGGACCCCTTTTTCTTCAGATATAAAATAGTGAGACGTGACCAATTGTTTAAATCGAACAGAACACGCAGTAAATTCTCAACAAGTTGTTTGGTTCTGAAAATAGTTTAATGAAATGGAATTTTGCGTTTAATCCCCTTGGGTGGAATTTCGGAAAATCCCGGTTTTAATCTGCCTTTAGGTATTCAAACGGGGACTTTTTGTCTTGGCTACATAGTACAGTACAATTAACTAAACTCTGAAACTCAATTCACTTTTTCACTCCTATTGCCTAGGACAAGACTGGTTAGATAAATAATATGTCCACTCTAATTGGATGATTATGTAGATTGTGGGTTCTGTTTCACAATTAGTTAAAAGAGAGTGTAAATGCCATTTTTAATCGAAATTTTATCTATGTTCGCCATAGGTTTCGGTTTTTTCGGCTATGTTAGTCTCATGAGTGTTGTAAAGCGTGGTGAGGTGCATGAGTTCGCAGTGAAGGAGTTGACGAACGACTACCCCAACGATGGAACAAGTCGTGTTCAAATGGAGTCCGAATTTGGTATTCGAATGTCCGGGTGTCAGTTTGCTGTTATCACCTATGGAGTCGTTGCTATGGGCGACTGTGTTCGAATTTTAATGGAAATAATGGATGGTTCGGTGGAAGAGTTTAAATACATAGTAGGAATTTTGTTTATTTTCTATATTCATATAAATAGTTCAATGTCAAGAATAACTGATAAAGTTTTCCCGAAGATCAGTATATTCCATGGAACATTTGGATGATCGAATTTTTGAAGAAATTAATTTATTAAAAAATAAGCCAAATTGGTTCCATAGGCCTTAGCTACCAGTAATTAATTTGGGCAAGTTGCTTGATAAATGTTAATGAAGCTATTAATTGTGAAGTTTGCTTTTAGATGTCCCAATCAAAAAGTGAAAGGACATGAAGCCAGAAGAAATTTCATCGATGAAAACGAAATGGGAGAAAAGAATGGTATCAATTTTGGAATAAATCTTAGTGGGAAGTAAAATGAAAAATTTAGAGTAATAAATGGAGCGATTATGTGGGTGCCAGAGAGGGCTCTGATTTGTGACCCATCGTAGTAGCAACTCTCTCTCTCTCTCTCTCTCGTTCATCTTGGATCCGTGTTGGCGGCATGATTTGGTCAGTAAGAGTGCAGAATAGG